AAGTCATTCAGTGGATTTATTTATGCTATTACAATACTGCCATAATAATAATAATCTTTGCATTTGATACAGTGCTTTTCACGTTTTCTAGACATCTCAAAGCGCTTCACAGAATATACTGTAAAGTGAATTGACTGTATATTTGTGGGCGAAACCTGGCAGCCAATTGTGCTTGGCAGTGTCCCACAGATGTGTATTGAGTGACCACATTTTTTTGAGGGATTATTATCCCTGGAAAAGCGATCTGCCACTCGACTAACAACCAGGTTCCTATTTACTGCTAGGTAAACAGAGGTGTGTGGAGTAAGGAATCTTGCCTAACATTTCATTTTGCCCTGCCGGGAATAGAACCCACGTCTGTCACTTGCGAATCAAGTACTCTAACCACTGAGCTACAGGACTCCACGATTGTCTTGGAGAGTTGCTTTTTCAGATTTTATTTTACCAGCAGCAGGTCCAGTCTAGATGCTGATGACCAAAGGATCCAAAATATTATTGATGCATGACTACTTATGCACTGAAAATGTAACAATTACAAAGTAATCACTGTAAGTTTATTCATTAGATAGAGAGGAGCTGTTGATCCTATCACTTTGGGTTAGATTTAGTCCTGATTCTAAATAGGCTACACAACAATGGGCAAGAAATTCCACATGTCATTAAACAATAAGCGCAGAGCTGGTACAACATTACGGGAGCAGAATCTGTTCAAACAAACAGGAATTCAAGTTGATATTTAGCTAAAAATATCTTTTTTCACAGTATATTTAGAAATTTGGATTTATGATTGCAGGATTTTGAAATCACCCTGGAATTAAATGAACATTCACTAGGTGGCAACACATCTCTGCTGTGAAGGAATTCTCCCTTTACAAAACCAGTTCTTGCCATCTTGGATTTCATTTTGAAGCAAGGTGATCATTATCGTAAATTGTAGTTCCCTGGACTGACTACTAAATTATTTTTTGTCTTTGTTATTTGCTTTCTTGGGTTGATATTGCTAAGAAGACTTGATTAGAGTGTGTGTGTGTGTGATTGGGAGCATGAAATCCACACTCTTTCCAGCGAAATTAATTAATAACTGGCTGGATGAAGTCTGAGGTGTACAGGCCAAGTGATAAAATATTTATTGTTAACTAGGGAGAGAAGTTATAGCCCTCTCTGGGGACTCACCTCAAAATGAAATCAAAGGAGGGGGCTGGATCTCAAAAGGAGAAACCAGTGTGTGTTGCCACCTAGTGGACATTATACATTACATAAATGCTGGACAGTACAGTACAGAAATAGGCCATTCATCCCAACCAGTCTGTGGCAGGGTTTACACCTCATATCAGCTTTCACCCCTCTTAATCCACTCTCTCATATCCCTCTAATCCATTGAACTTCATCATGCCAGAGATCATTTCAAAATGACTGAAACATTACCCCAAACTTTATTCAAGACCTACATTTTTCACCGCTCATTTGGTTGTCTTTCCCCTCCCCACCCTCTCGGCTCCCACCCACAGCTCAGTGCCCAGCAGGTACTGTTAAACACTTTGGGATGTCCTCCAGAAGTGAAAGGTGCTATATAAATGTCAATTTGTATTATATTGTATTTCTTGTGTGTTTTTTTAAATAAAGTATGATCACTTAGAACAGCCACGTGTAAAGACATTGGTGTTATTCTATGTCCTTCCTGGAGATGTTCAGTCAAGCAGACTTATTGGTAGTAGTAAAGTTGTTGCAGAAAGCACATAAATGTATTAAGGAATATGTTGAGGAAAGACCATCTGTCAATTATAAACATCAACCATTATAAATTGGCTCATGATTATGGAATACAATTTAAAAAAGGACCAAAGTTATTGGAATCAAATGGGAAAAAAATGAGCAAATTTACATAGATCACAACCATGTGCATAAGGTACACAGTTTATTGATTTCCAATGTAGTATTTTGATTGAAAAGCCCAGCTGTCTTTGCTCTTGGTGCTCTGGTGATGGGACAGTCTCTCCATAATCCCAACAAGGCATTAAACAAACCAAATTGCGAGTGTTTTAGATGATTGCAGCACATGGTCATTTAAATTATTTTGTACATAAAATGCTAAAGCAGATGTTAGATAAAAGAGAGAAAGGAACGTTCCAATGAACTGATTGAAAGAGATACATGCAAGTAATTGTCATTTTCCGGTGTAATTTCAATATCAATAATAATGTGAATATTAATGAATCGACACAGGTTGCTGAATCAGTTTTAATTAAACACAATTACCACTAAAATAGAAACCCAGTAAATACAATTCAGTTACAATTTGGCAATCCTCACTCATTGGGTGCTGCAATTTTTCTGATTTGCTCTGCTTTCAACTTTCATTTATAAAGTGCCTTTCACATTGGGAGGACGCCTTAAAAAGTTTCACAGAATTGACTGGGAGCCTGATCTGGGGAACAGGGGTGGGGGTAGTGGGGTCAAAAAGATACGTTTTAAGGCAGAAGGGAGGGGACAAGACAGAGGGGCTTCAGTTTCCCAGACAGCAGGGACAAAATGCCTGAAATCATCCACTGATTTCACAAAGTGATACCGTAACATCTTTCTATTACTTCCCAAACTTACAATTAGTGAGTAAGCAATTGAAGTCATTTGCACAATTGAATAACCATTTTGAAGCAGATAATTTCCACAGGCAATTCAATGCCTTTGGATCCTTTTTATATAAATGTACAGATAATTTGTCGAACTAAGGGGGAAAAAATGACGGCGCGATAAATGACAAGTGTGCACATTTTGTACTAGGTTTTTAACATGCCATGTTTGTAGAGAACATATTTTTGGACAGGGCATCAGAATTAGCAGTGGTTGGAAAGTGAGTGTGTGCAGGTTGAATGAGCACACATTCTGATCAGCTTGTCTGGTGAGTAAAATTGGTGCTTCATCATGCAGTACATGTTCAGGAAGCAATCCAGGTGCTTTGGGAATTCTAGCTCCCTCGTACAGGCAGACAGATATTATCGAGTGTTGACAGGTCATATCTATGAAACAACAACAACAACTGAATTACATTTGTAGAGCACCTTTCACGTCGGAGGACGTGAATCATAAACATAGCAATCCCCCTTAGTTCGACAAATTATCTGTACATTTATATAAAAAGGACCCAAAGGCATTGGATGAAACCTATTGAAGGATAGAACCTATAGAAAACAATCTGTATCTTATGTAGCAAAGTAGCATGTCAATATAGGTCCCTGTTTATGGTTAAGAGCAAATTCCCGAAGAAAACCGTGGAAGGAATACTTTAGAGGAAGAGAGGTTAGTATTCTGGCTTGTATAGGTTAGCCCCTCATGACACCCTCACCTCCCCTGCCAGCAGCTAATCTTTCTCACCAGTGGCTAAGTGCCCTGTGTTTCATCTTTGACATTAGTAACTCCCAAGGTAGATGGACCTCTCAAAACCTCCCAAGATGCCACACCATCCAGTGACCAAGGATTTGTAAACAGTAAATCCTGTGAAGTTGGGTACTGCCTTGCCCTCACACGATTGGAGATTTCTCATTAAAATATGTATTTAATTCACTCGTGCACAAGGAATTTGTAAAGACACATTCTCATTCCTTATAGTACAAATTATACAACTGAGTAGTACAGAACTTACCAATGATACTTCCCTCTTCTTCAATGTCCTCCACACCAATGACTTCAAATTCTCCATTCCACCAAATGCACCACTGTGTATTCATCCGTGGCATCAACTGTTGTTTGAGGTTTGGAGATCCACCATCTATTCCGCCTTGATACATCCTCCTGACATGAAAGATGCTATTTTAATATCAATTTTTATTGTATTGTTTCCCCCCTTGCACTCCTTTGGTTTTGTGTACATTTGATTTTGAACATAGAAGCAGAGGTATTGAGACATAGCAATTGACCTTGTGGAAATTACTTCTTGTAGTACATTCAATCTCTTGAGCCATTCCCCGAACACGCAATGAGGATCCATGCAGTGGCAGGTTCAGAAGCACTGGCGGCTGCTTTAATGGTTCCAGTGACCAAGGATTTGTAAATAGTAAATCCTGTGTAAGTCGGAGTTGATCTGGTTGATCCTTTGGAACACTACCTTTACAGAAGTTGGATCTGAGGTCGGTGTTTGAGAGGAGTTCCAGATGGCTGAATGTGATACATCGGGACTTGCTTTTTACAGACTTGCAAATTTGCAATTTCACTTATCTCTGTTATTTCCTGTGCGCTACCAATATTCCTGCTTGTTATTTTTATACAGGTTTTGAGATGTTGGATAAAATTTGTCCGATCATGACATAGGATTTTGCGAGAGTCCAGAAGAGGGTGATGGTGCATCTTTGAATAGATATGGCCTGCCTATTGTCATACGTAGGGATGAACTTTCTCAATAATTTTCTCTTCTACCAGTTTTTTGAGCCAGTTCACCATTTATTTACCTCAGGGTTTACTTCAAGTATGATTATCAAACCTGTAGCTGATGGCAACTTGTACCATTTCCATAGGAGAGGTGTGAACAAAGTGCTCAAACCGTCACGTCAGTTACCAAATAACACACTGAAGGCTGGCCCAACGTATAATTCTATCAACGCCAGCCTGAAGCAATGCAGTCATGTTTGTCTTCGACACAAAGGAGGGGCCACTGATATTACTGTTGATGAGGACCAGCATGATGAAGAGTGTTTTCTATAAGAAATTTCAAAAGTAGCTTTCAAAAGTAACAAATCTCCTATGTTATGAAACTCACATAACATAGACAAAGGCCAATATATTTTATTGTTTAAAATAAAAGCACTCTTAGGACAAAGTCTTTGCTTTGGGGAAGAATGATGTTTCACAGCTATTGATGTTGTATAGGTTTGCTTTGAAAATGGATTTGGTGGATTTCTATGTAACTGGAAAATGACAATTTATTCATTTTATGTATTATTGAGCTCAACGTTTTTTGGAGTCTATTGTGACATTTGAACTATTCAATAATACATCACTTTTGTTCATTATTTGGGGAATTTTAAACTTTATTATTTCACAAGTTTACATTGACAGAAATAGTTGAATCTGTTTTCTGTCGTTTGAAAAATGTCAGCTGTATGAATTACAGGTTACATTTGATTAATAAAATATTGAGGAACTCAGTTTTGAGACACACATTTTAAGTTAAAACAAAACTATCAAAGTGCCTAACCTTTACTATTTGGAAGATATAGATTTGTCTTCTTACTAACACACATATATATGCATATTTAACTGTTTTCCAGTGACACTAAACGTGCATCTATAAGTTTCAGTATCAGAAAGATTGTAGCACATTTTATATTACCCATCACAACCCTATAAATATAGTATTCTTAACTGTCACAGCAACTTAGTTTTATCCTTCAAGAACCCCAAAGCAGCTTGAATGCTGTACAGCTATACATTGCTGTTTGGCTATAGTATACACATTGCAATTTCATGCTGTCATTTAAATTTTACATGAATGCATCTGGTTACCAATCAAGTTGTAGTCGCAGAGCATTTACAGTGCAACATTATGCGTAACACATGTGGGAGTGGGGGAGGAGAGTCTTTTCTTATACAATGCAATCCAGTGGTAGAATTATCATAGGTAAGCAGACCAATATATCACATTAAAGAAGAAGAAACAAAAAGGGAACAAAGCTCTTGCATAGAGGTCAATCCTCTTGGCTGCAGCTGGGATGACAGGTTTAGCAGGAGGGGGCTTCTTATTATTTTTTGACTGGAGTTTCCCAAGGCCATTGTTAACTTCTATAGGTTTTCCATAGCAGTCGTAGTTGGACAGCTCAAAGTCCCGTGGCAAACTTCCAACGATGCTGAAGTCATTCGATCTCAGGTCAGATTTCGAAGTGCAAACTTTTTTGCACCTGTTTTCTCCAACCTAGCAAAACACAACGCACCATTGATCAATCTCACTGTCAAATACTACAGAGCGGCAAGACAATTTACAATACAAAACTGAGTGTATTCTGTTTAGGCTGTATGAAAGCAAAATAAGAAGGCAGGACATGCTGCAGCAAATTTGATGTAACATGAATAAACAATTTTAGCTAAGGTGTCAGAAGGAGATGTTGGGAGGAAGGAGAATAATAATCCTTGCATTTGATATTGCGTCTTTTCATGTTGTTGAGGTGTCTCAAAGCGCTTCACAGAATATATTGTAAAAAGGATTGACTGTGCATTTTGTGGGCGAAATGCGGCAGCCAATTGTGCACAGCAGTGTCCCACAAACAGTAGTGGATTGAGTGACCAATTTTTTTTATGAGGGATTATTCCCCCTGGAAAGAGATCCGCCAATCGACTAATAACCAGGAAATATCAAAGGGAATGCAGTCTTATATACGTATATATACATATATTGCATCATGGCAATGGACTGCAAGCAAGTCAGCTTGTCTGATTGGGGGATAGTTCCATAGAGTAAGCAGACCTAAAATAATGGGGATTGAAAGAAATACAAGTGTTGTTGTGGGAAGGGCTGTCGGTTTTGAATTACATTAAAAAAACTTCAAAAACACAAATAAACAAATTAATGGTGTCAGTCTGGGACAAATTGGTATCACTCTTGCCTCTGTCAGAAGCTTTTGGGTTCAGGCCCCAAGCCAGGGTTTGAACTAATATTCCAGACTGACACTCCACTGCAATGCTTTGGATGAGATTTTAAACCGTGGTCTGCTGGTTTCCTGTCCGCCTTTTCAAATGGATCCTAAAGCCCCATGTTGAAAAGAGAAGGGAATTCACTTGATGGCTGTGTGTGGAACCTTGTTGTGCACAACGTGTTTGTCTATAAATTACACAGTCACTACACCAGCAAAGCAGGATTTCAAAACAGCCTCCCAAAGTGTAAGGTACTGTATGCAACGATTAGTATTATATGCAACAATTACTGACAGTGTTTCTTAGTAAGGAAACTCCTTTCCAAACGTAGATGATGTTAGAGCGGAGTTACTCCATGATGTATGTTCGTTTTCCTTATTAAGCAAATCGCTTGCAGGATTGTATATGAGGAAATGTACTGCATTTTGGGGGGTTGGCATGAACATGGTTGTGACCCAGAATCAGAAATTTTCTGCACAGAAGGGGGCGGCATTTGACCTATTCTGAATGTAATCACCGTTTTTATTAAATCAATTCCACGCTTCAGTTCTCTACCATATTCTTCAATGGCTTTACTGTTCAGGTGCTTATCCTGCTCCCTTTTAAATGATTCTATTAATCAGACCTTGATAGCCACTTGTGGTAATGAATTCCATATCTTAACAACCCACTGAGTGAGGAAATTCCTTTTAGCCTCTCCCCTACCTTTTCTGCTAACAATTCTTCTGAGACTGTGGCCACCCCACCCAGCACTAATTTCTAAACTAAAGGAAATAGTTTGTTGCTACCTATCCCGTAGTAAAGTTCAGTAGCTACGTCTCTTCTTTTGTGCTGGTCCCAGTCTCTTGTAGAGTGTGGGTATTATTTATCAGACTACCACATGGTACACAAAACGATGACTCAGTTGAAGCATCGAAAAGATTTCTGATTGAACAGTAAATATGATATGGAAGATTTTGGAATAGTGCAGGTTCTGAAGGAGGGGCTAAATGTCAAGTCTAGGTAGATGGCCTTTTTTTTTACTCCTCAAGCCTTGTGCCTTTGTGTTCATATGTAATCACTTACCATCCATAGTTTTCCCTTTCATTTTCAGCATTTTCATACTTGCATCCTATTACCTCTGTTATTTCTTTTTTCCTTTCCCACAGCAAAGAGTGCAATAGCTTGTGCTTTCTTGAAATAACAGTGAGAAGGAAAGTGAACACTGCACCAACCAAAGACTTTCATTAAGAAACCTGGGAACTAATCTCAAAGTCTGAGTTGGAATCTATTCATCTGCCGGGGCTGATAGCATCTTCAGTTAGAATATAATAATACTTGCATTTGATATTGCGCCTTATCACGTCTTCAAGATGTCTCAAAGTGCTTCACAGAATATACTGTGACTGTATATTTTGTGGTAAAAAAGCAGCAACCAATTGCGCATAGCAGTGTCCCACAAACAGTCATGGACTGAGTCACCCACATATTTTTATGAGATTATTACCCCTGGAAAAGCGATCCGGGTTCCTACTTATTGCTAGGTAAACAGAAGCATGTGGAGTCAGGAAACCTGCCCAACATTTTGGTCTGCTCAGGAATTAAACCCAGGACCCCTCTCTTGTGAGGCGAGAGCTCTAACCACTAAACTATAGGATTCCACATCGGTTCTGATAATAATAATCCTTGCATTTGATAGAGCACCTTATCAAGTCTTCGAGATGTCTCAAGCAGCTTCACAGAATATACTGTGAGTGATCAGCAGCCAAGAGGTGTGGCTGCTTTTGGGATACCAGCAAATGAATACATTCAGTATTAGTGAGATGGCTGTCATGGTTACCTGCAAAGAAACCATTTTCTTAAGATGAATCTAATTTGGAACGTTGCAAAAGAAAGCATTGAAAAATCACTGGAGACACTTTGTGCATACAGCAGCCGGATCTGAGATGATGTGAGTGGGCTTTCTTCAATATTACTAGGGCAGAAAGTAAACTCTTATTTAGGAGCCACTCTTCGCTTGTTGTAAATTTACTGACCTTGGTGATCTTATGATGAATCCCATTATATCCCTCTAAGGTTGGTGTAAATGTATCGATAAGTGTACAACAACTCCGGAGATATGGTACTAATTGATGATTATACAAAGCGCAGAGCACAGTGTAAAATGTCCCTGTGGGAGTAATGTTCTCAATAGGAAGAGTATCATGAAATGATTCAAAGAATTGAATTGCAATCCAGGTTGGTCTTCTCCACAGTGACCATTTCCTGACAATGATAATGTTCACTCAGTGGTACTCAGATGGTTCAAAATGCTAGAAAACAAATGTTACTGTTTGAATAATATCTACATGAAATCTTTATTGTCCGCACTTTTGACTCCAGTCCAAGTATTCATCTGCCAACATTCAATGTTATCATTTTTGTCTATTGTTGTGATATCTGCCTTATAATGCTGATTTACAACAAAACTCTGCCAATCACATCTGTGAAAAATTAAAGCTTACTGTCATTTTTTGAGTCATTTGTAATTTAAATGAAGATGTGCATAGATAGTATGTAGATGTTTAGATACCTTTTACAATAATTTCAACTGATTTCTTTAATAACAGGGAACATTAATCATGAAAATAATGAAGCTAAAAATGGAATCTAACTAAGGCGAGCATGTTCAGTAAATTGTGGGGCACAATATATTCCACCCTTAATATGCTGAAGAGATGTCTCTCAGATTCTGTAGATTGTGAGTACATTTGTTCATCAGAGACAAAATAAGGAAGATCTCCTTTGTCTCCTCTGTCACTGCTCCTCTAACACAAGTGTAAGCTGCTGTGAGTTTAACCTAGTTATTTGTTGACAGTTGATCCCAACTCAACATCACACAATGCATTATGTGCAGTTGTTTTCACATTTTCAAGAGTTTCTTATTAACATGGAATGAAGGACTGTCTAGCTTCATTCATATGCAGGAGTGAGGTTAAAATATATTCAAAGGCAAGCTTCTATCCACAACTACAGGCTTACATTTAAGATATTCAGTGTCAAATTGACAGCAAAAATAAGTGATCAGATAGTTCAGATTTACTTATTTTACATGCAGAGCAACATGCTGACTACATGTGGTCAGCCACATGCAGAAACCCATCACTATGCTTAAGAGTATTCAAACCAAGTTGAGATTTCCATGCATCCCACGTACACATAGAAATCACCGAGATAGATTGTTGGAATAGAATGCACATTCCCTCCCTGCTTACCTATTTCCAGAGAGTATAAGGTGTAGGTTGGCAAGAGCCAAGGCTTGGGGAGCCCAGAATATGCATTGGGGGTACTACTGAAGTCTAACCAACTAAAACCACATAGTTTACCATTGATATTGCTGTTCGGTAACCTGGAAAACCCAATGAGGCAGTGGAGGTAGTTTGTGTCAGCAAACTCAAGAGGGAATTAAATAGCTGTTTGTTGATAAATTGATTGAGTAAATAGGAGGGATAGAGTAGTGTAGAATTCCTTTATTTACATTGGGACTGGATGAATGGACCGCAATAGTCTTTCCTGGTCCCGTGGTTTCCTATGTGCCTATGTTAGAGAACAGTGTGTCGAAACAAAAGCAACAGAATACAATGGAAAACCAAGAAAGAGAAGTAAAAATTGAAACAAAAATGAATCACATCATGAAAATAGCTTGAAATAAAATAAGAAAGCAAAACTGAGCTGATAAAAAATAGAAAAGTACAGGAAATTGGGAAAGGTAACCAACAGCAACTTGCACTTATGCAATGTCTAACATAGGAGAACGTCTTTATAAAGTCAGAGTGGAAGCCCACATTTGATTGGTGATTTGGGGGTTGGAGGGAAGTGGTTGAAGGTGCAATCAAAGAGATAGATTTTTAGCTGAAAGCTGAGAAAAAGGGAGTGAGATGGGAGAATTTAGGGAAAGATTTACAGAAAGTGGGCAAAGTGGCTGAGAGTTCACCCAATGATGGTTTGATGACTGACAGGCAGTTTATCAGACCAGCAATGGTCTAGATCGATGTGGGACTGGAATAATGAAACTAGAGCAGGAGCCAAGGTTAATTGCTTAAATTTTGTTGATATTTTGTTTGAAGACCTGAAGGCTTGGGGTCTGATAAGCAGTCTATCAGAACAGCAGTGGTCTTAAGAGTCAAGGGTGAAAGCAGAAAGATAGAGTTTGTTGTCATCCACACACATATGGAAGTGGATATCTGTATATGGAAATGGGTGATATGACCAAGGGCAGCATGTAGATCAGGCAAAGATGGCGACAAAGGATGGAGCTCTAAGGAA